CTGCCACCGCCCCCGCCCCCGCCTCCGCCTCTGCCTCCACCTCCTCCATGACCACCAGCACCATATCCTTCACCGCTCCCATATCCAGACCCAGAACCATAACCTGACCCGAGTCCTGATCCAGAACCACCACCACCACCTCCTCCCTGCCCTCCACCTCCACCTCCACTGATTGACTGCAGTGTCCTAGCAGCAAAGGTGAGGTCTAAAATAAGCAAGACCAGGAAAGCAGTCCCTAACACTCTTGGGCTTGCCATTTCCAGATTATACTCTCGCCGCTCAATGTATCTGTATGTTTATGCGTGCCACTCGCTATATGAGAAACCAGTATGCTTTGTTGACTGGAAATGCTTGAAGTGGTAACCGTATATATAGGCATTGTAAAGGTGACAAGACAAGGTTTTTGAAAAGTACGGCATTAATTGTAAAGGTAACGAGACACGGTTTTTGAAATGTGTCTTAAATTCCTAGTACCTCTCACTTGGTGATCTTGACTGTTGTAGAAAGGAACGTGTGCTTTGGGTTTCTGTTTCAGTGGTGGGCGTCGGTGGTGGGGTGTTGGTCTTTACGAGTGTTTCGCAATGTGTTTTAAAATAATTTGAAGTTTTTTTTATTTTAAATTAATATATTTTTAAATTATTTTAATTTACTGATTTAAAAAAAATAATTTTTTTAATATATTTTTTTAAATAAAAAATATTTTAAAAAATAACTCCAATTATATTTCTGATCACGATCGCAAAGGACTGCCTGTTTCTGTCTATATGCAACAGAATACAAGCTTTATCCCCACCTTTTGCTTTTATTTACTTAGCCGTATCTTGTAATATTTGACTTCGGCAATGGGACTAATAGCATGCGTTTCCCACTCTTTATCATTCTGTTCATATTAACTTGAACTCCACTTTTGAGTACACGTATTAATTTTCCCATGTACTGGTAGCTGTCCTGCGGTGATTTGTGCTAACGATTGTCTCCTTCCGCGTAAGTTTATCCGCTAACGGTAGTGATTTATGTACACAGATATGTTTCTACTCTGCGTGTATGCTAACAATGGGCTAAACTTCCACAACAAACTGGGTTGTTCAGTCAATATTTTCTTATTTCGGTTACACTTTCCGTCATTGAATATAAATAAATAGATCTGTGCTTAAAAGCCGCGTTCGAATGTCTGTTCCGGTGTATGAAAGCATCACTGCTAGCAGAATGTTAGGCCATCTGCGTGGTTGATATACTGAACAGTAGTCTTCTACTCTTGCACAGATTGAATTTCAGTTCCATATGCATAGATCATCGCATCCTTCAATGGCATGCTTTAACAAGTCCATGTAAGAGTTCTAGAACTTCTTTTTTTCTTCCATAGAGTGGTTGTGCTTTCAAACATATCCTCCCTTATTTTTCTTCCATATTTTTTCTTGAATAAAACATGTTAATAGTAATTACTAATAGTATTCAACTTTGGTGTGCTTCTTGATGAGGGCACTAACTCATTATCAGAATTTTTAGATTTATTAATGTAATTTCATATTGATATTTATACTCACAATCTGCTAGCAGGAATTTTTTTTGACCCGCTCACAGAAAGTAATCATTCGTAAAAAAAAACTATTCTCGGTAATTTGTGATATGTCGCTGAGTCTGTCAATAATAATTTCACTAACAATTAATTGACAGACAAAGCATGGAAAAAAATTATTAGCTTCATTCCATTAGGATTTTTATCAATGAATATAATATATCACTGACAAAAAATACGTATGTCATTTAATCGATGAGTTTTTTTACCTGTCAGTATTTTCTTTATTGAATTTGGATATAACCATCAAATGGATCTTCTGTTATTTTTTCAATCAGTAAACAGTAGCAGTAGTGTTTTCAATAATTCTTTTTTAATTCTCTAAATATACCAACAGACTTAAATTGTTGGTAACTTCATTAGTAATAATTTAAAAAAATATCAAACACAAATAGAAAATAAATTAAATTAATATAAAAATCAAATATTTGTTATAAATTTAAACATTCATAAGTTCAAATACAATTAATATAGAATAGAGGTGTCGAAAGAAGAGGAGAAGGTAAGTCTTCGTTGAGACCGTGGGGCGACTAAGATGAAGCACATATATTACTCATATGTAATCTTGTCTTCATTTATACAATCATTAAAGAATAGAAAATTAAAAATAAAAATAAAAATAAAAACCAACAACATTCACACAATCAATTAAGAACAAAAAAATTAAAAAAATTCCAACAATATTCATGAATAGAAAAATGCAAAAAAAAAAAAGAATAATCTTACATTAGATAAATTTGTTGGTTTTATTGATAGGTATAAGATATGTTATACGTAGAAGAACTTGTATAACATTAGTATAAAGCTAGCTATCCGATAAATTTGACAACAGCTTGAGCAACATTGCAAGCTACTAAAGGTCTACATGTCTGGATTGTTTGATTTTAAGGTTTCAAAAAAAAAAACATTTGTAGAAGAGTTTTGTAGAGAGGATGAGAAGAATTTCTTGTATTTGTTTTGTACTGCAGCATTAATATAGAAAACTCTGCTTTTATACCCATTACATGTAATAAATAATATAATCCTAGACTTTAGGAATCAATTTATCTCAACCATTCATTAATAGAGGGTTATGATTCTTATATATATAAGTAACAGTTGTAACAGAATTTAACAAAAAAAAACTGACTATAACTACCATAACTATTTTAACTGCTTCTTTAACTGTTTTAATAGAATTTCTTCCATTTCTTCATTCTTCCTGTAGAGTCTTTTTTTCTAAAACTTCAAAAATAAACAACAGCTTAGCTTTCAATAGCCTCTTTTAAGCTGTTTACTAGTTTAACTCCAAGCTTTAGCCTTAGTTGCTTGAATCTATTTTTAGGCAATGCTTTTGTAAATATGTCTGCAAGTTGTGCTTCACTTCTATAGAATTGCATATTTATCACTCCCTCTTATAGAGTCTCTCTTATGAAATGATACTTCTTGTTTATATATCTTGTTCTTTGATGAAAAACAAGATTTTTTGCCATTGAAATTGTTGACATGTTATCCAAAGGTATTGCTTCAATTTGCATTTCACCAAAATCATCAAGAAAAATCTTAACCAAATGGCCTAAATTGTTGCTTCAGATGTTGAGACATACTCAGCTTCTGTAATTGATAATGTCACCGTGTTTTATTTCATAAAAACCCAGGAGAATACTCCACTCCCAAAACTGAATGCATAACCAGAGGTGTTCCTACTATCATCTCCACTTTCTGCCCAATCTGCATCACAAAATCCAATAAGAATTGTTAATTAATCTTTAACGTATTCAATGACATAGTTGAGAGTTCCTTGCACATATCTTAGAACCCTTTTTGTAGCTCTCATATGAATTTTGATAGGTCCATTCATGAATCGTGACAGCAAACTGACAGCATACATCAGATTAAGTCTTGTTACTGTCAAATATAGTAAACTTTCTACTATTTTTCTGTAGAGACCTTCATTAGCTAACTCACTCTCATCCACCTTTTTCAATTTCTCACCAGTGGTTAAGGGAATATAAATTGGTTTGATGTCCTCAAGTCCAAACTTACTAAGTAAGGATTTGGCATACTTACTTTGATGAATGAATACTCTTTGATCGGTTTGCGATATTCTCATACCAAGAAAATGAAGAAGAAGTCCAATATCAGTCATCTCATATCTTTGCATCATTTCTCTTTTAAATTCACTAAGCATCCTCTCAATAATAATTTTACTAATAATTAATTGACAGACAAAACATGCAAAAAAAAAATTACTAGCTTCATTCTATTAGGATTTCCATCAATGAACATAATAAATCATTGACAAAAAATCCGTATGTCATTTAATAGATGAGTTTTTTTACCTGTTAGTATTTCCTTTATTGAATTTGGATATAACCATCAAATGAACCTTCTGTTATTTTTTCGATCAGTAAACAGTAGCAATGGTATTTGTAGTAATTCTTTTTCAATTCTTTGAATATACCAACGGATTTAAATTGTCGATAACTCCATTAATAATAATTTAAAAAAATATTAAACACAAATAGAAAATAAATTAAATTAATATAAAAGTTAAATAATTGTTATAAATTTAATATTCATAAATTCAAATACAATTAATATACAATAGAAGTGTCAAAGGAAGAGGAGAAGACGGGGCTTCGCTAAGACCGTGGGGCGAATAAGATGAAGCATATATATCACTCATATATAATCTCGTCTCCATTTATACAATCATTAAAGAATAGAAAAATAAAATTTAAAAAAAAACCAACAACATTCACACAATCAATTAAAACAAAAAAATTAAAAAAAATTCCAACAACGTTCATGAACAAAAAAATGCAAACACAAAGAAAACACAAAGAAAAAAAAAGAATGATCTTACATTAGTATCACTATGAGTTTCCCCGAGCCTGAGAAGAGAGAAAAATTAAAAATTATGTTAAATAACATGAGAAGAAGAGAGGAGAAGACATAACTACATGTGGAGGAGAAAAGAAGGGAAGAGAATACATGGAGGTGAGAGAGAAAAGAAAGAAATATGAAAATTTGAGACAAGATGAGGAAAGAAAAAGTTGTTGAGGAAGAGATAAGAAGAGAAACATGCATTTAATTTGGAATTTTTTTACTAATGATGTTTCTAAAAACCAATTAAATATTAATATTTTTAGGTTTTTTGTTAGTGTATTTGTTTATAATTTTAACTGATAATTTTAATTTAATCAAATATTTTAACACACCAAGCATTAACAATGTCTCTACCATCAAAAAATTAAAAATTAATATTTTAATTTTTCTATTAATATTTATGTCTATAATATTAAATTGAAATTTTCAATTTAATTTAAAATTTTCAAAAACCTGCCAACTATCACCAACTTTTAACTCTGTCAATTATCCTGTACCCAATGAACACTAATAATAGTACAAGTAAGAAGTGAACACTACATTAGCTCTTGAAAAAAAATACCAATGTCTATTTTTTATCGGTGATCATGTATTTATGGAACATAATTAATTGTACAATTGAGAGGTGAAAAACTACAATATTTTCTGAAATATATCGATGGTCTTAATTTGTCGATGTATATATTGGTATTTTAAAGTTTGTTGGTATTTTTATTAGTGTAAATGATATATCATTGTACTTTTTATCTATTTTATTTTTTCACTATAATTTTTTTGAAATATACTAATAGAATATTTTTGTCGGTGTTTACTGATGGATAATACAAAGGTATATTCAGAAAAATTCACTATAATTTTCTAAAAAAATATTTTGTTGGTGTGTTCATTTACCAATTTTCTAGTAGAGT